CGAGATTCCTCGGAAAGATCTTTCACTATGGTTTTTTTATTGCCTGACTTTAATTCTCCGTATTTCTTTTCCTCCGCGAGGATCAAAGAAAACTCCGCGTCGTCTATGCGGCGGTCCTGCAGAGCCTTGGAGACCAAGTCGGCGATGGTGTTAGCCTTTGCTCTTGCTAGGGCTATATGAGTGTCGTGCTTGGATATCTTACCGGACAATTGCTTTATAATGCCTGTCGTAACAGCGGAAACAATGCCGCAGACAGCTCCAACGCTTGCCAAAGGAATGCCAATGACTATTCCAGGTCCAGTAAGCGAAGTAGCAACGCCAGTGCCTGTTAACGCCACGGACATGGAGCCGGAAGTTATCGCGATTTTATGTAGTATGCTTCGGGCTCTGGCGTATTTTTTTCGAACCTCTTCGTAGTGTTTTGCTTGCCCTTCTAGATAGGCCAGGATTAAGTTCGCCTTATTCAAGCGAAAGTTCTCAGCGTCGTTGGTAATTTCAGGATAAAGAGGGGGTGCTGAAGGTATAACATCCATTATATACTAATGTATGACGCTTTTGGAAACAATATGGAGGATCGGCCAACGCCACCACCGCCCAAACGGCCTCCAAAGCCAAAACCTCCAGCGCCAAAGTCTAATTTCCCCAGGTATTTGCTACCGGCGACGGGAGATTATCCATTTTACGATARTAAAGATACGAAGAACTTCGCGGAGTTGGTTACCACGCTGGAAATACCCGTGGGTAAAGCGTCCTTTAAAATGAAGGTTAGGGATGTCTTCAGAGAAACCCGACTTAAGCATACGTCAGGCACGGAGTCTAGAGAATGGTTGGCAGGGCCTAACATGCGGTATTGGCCTCAGCAATTGAACTTTGCCGTGTGGGCTGCGACAAAAGGATGTGGTGTAGCCATGGATATGCTGCATATTCCATTTTTGAGATTCCACGTTGCCTTTACCATCCGCAGGTTGTTGTTTGAACTAGGCGCCCCGTTGCCAAGCGATAAGATCTTTAACGCGAAGGACAACAAATACGATAAAGTCGCGTGGGAGCGTTTAAGGAATGAGTTTGGGCTTTCTAATYCAGACTTTCGTAATAAAGAAGGCGCTGCACACGGTCTCGGGGAAACTTACACGTATACAGCATACGTTGGTGCCAGCGTAGAAAGACCCGGTATGGGGTATCCGAGCCAATGGGAATTCTCCGACCTCGGTGGTAAAGCATCAAAAGGCAATTTAATCTACTTTATCGAAAGCAAAGAGACCCATCCGTGGGCGCCATTCATCGCAGCGAAAGGTATTGGTTTAAAGAATCTAGCCAGGATTAACCGAAGTATTGAAGCATTCGTCTATTGCATCCTAGGCGCGCAGRTTAACACTCGCAGTTCTATCGTAGGCGCATCTGGAGCGTCAAAAGAAACGCAGCAAGAATTCCTTCATTTATTTGGTTTTGCCATTATTGAGAACGACATCTCAAAATCGGTGCAGCGATATCAAAATGCGATACAGTTGTCGAGGATGAGGTTGGACTACGCGTTGACACCCGGATGTTGGTTAATGCCGAGTAATTTGGTGATAAACGCCGATGCCGTGGTGGGATACAACAACAAGCTTCAACGCGCCACGAAAGACATGAAGTTTGGTGTGAATGACGTTAATGCTGACACCCTCTTAAACATTCCCCACTTCGTAGAAAAGCCTAAAAATACGCATGAGACGAAGCCAACACTGCCCGTAGTGAAGGAGGCGCCGATGAAGGTACGCGTGCAAAGGAAAAAAAGATACGTGCCCGAAGAAGAATATGACCATGATTTCTTAAAAGCCGGCTTAGCAGCTGCAAGCATTGGTCTGAGCTATTATATATGGCGATGAACAACCCTTACGTAGCTGGAGTAGATTGTGTTTACACGACTTACACAGGCGAGAAAAAATACAACCAGAGCTCTTGGGTGGACGTTGAGGGTATGTCCGTGAATTTGAACTATTCAGGAAAGAAGTTAATCCTTTGTAGTATTTGCATTAGCACTAGCAGCCACGCCAACGTAGGTTTCAGGTTCATGGATGAAAACGGCGTACTGCAGCCAATGCGTAATAAGACGARCAACAGGGAGCCTACGCATTTCTCCGTAGAGCCACCAGCAAATAGTACTGAGAATTTATCGGTTTGGACCTTTCACATGGTCGCCGATTGTCATGGGAAGGTAAAGCTGCAAATACGCGTAGACGATACGGGGAAGGTCACGGTAAATAGTATAGAGGATCAAAGAGACGCGGCCTATAACCATTTAACTATTAGCACTCTTACGGTGCTTAGTCTTTAGGCCTGAAATATATGAATCCACATTTAACCGAAGCGCGCTACGTTCACCATTTAGACGTAAAGGAGTACAAAGGGCATAAGTGGTTTGATACTGGAATATGGGCTGAAGTTGGAGGCCTTGCGCTAGTCATTTGCACCATTTCCATTGGCACGGGAGGTAGCGCTAACGCGGGGTTTAGGCTTGTTGATGAGAACGATGAGCCTTTGCCCCCCAATCGGACTTCCGCGAATAGCAGGAGAGCAGCACACTTTTCAGTAGAGTCAAGCAAGACCAGCGTGGAGAACATTAGACCTGTCACGTTCTACATGGTAATTAATTGTAAAYACGTTAAACTACAAGTATTTTCTGATGATGGCTTTGCCAATGGAGCGCTGAGCTACACCTGGATAAACAGCACTGTGTTAGGTGATGGCAGAGATAAGGACTATAATCATAAGCCCATTTCTACTATGAGCGTTCTACCCTTGCTACCGCATTATCAAGGAGGTGCAAATACTATTTTTACCAATCGAGGGCCCAGAGGGCTTATGATGTCAAACGACGAAGAGTTCGATGATAAGCCTGACATAACGTACCCAGATAAGGTCAGCCCTTCATCTTCTTCATGAGTACCATCACRATAGCCACCACGAGGATCCAAATGTTATTACCAACGAACTTTAACAACTCGCCGCTGGTTTTCAATATCAAACTCAAGACGCTACCAAGCAGCCCAGGAACGCTGGCTGCGAATGTCTTTCCAAGGGCTACGAGGCCCGCAGCTAATTTTTTACCCATCTCCTGTATGCCCCCTGCCACCTTTTTGATTCCTTTCTTTTCTTCCTCCCTTGCCTTTTCCATCCCCTCTTTCTCTTCTTTCCCCATTTTTTCCATTTTCTCTTTCATTTCCTTCGTTCCTTTCTCCATTTTCTCTCCAATTTCCTTCGTTCCTTTCTCCATTTTCTTTC